GTTGTAGAAGGCTGGGAGTGGAGACTGGGAAATCATGGGAGGAAAATGAAAATGGCTGATAATGAAGATGGGATTTCTTTCTGAGATGATAAAAATTGTCCTAAAATTGATTGTAATGACTGCACAACTTTATGCATATATTAAAAACCATTGAATTTTATAGTTCAAATGGGTGAGTTGTATATCATATGTATTATATCTTAATAACCTATTTTTAAAAAGGAAAAACAAAATAGAACGAATGGCTGATGATTACCTGTAGGTCATAGCAGACAATAAGCCAAACGTTAACTAGATGGGATGGGCCAATTAAACATAATAATAGATATTCTCTATCCATCCTCCAACTAAAATAACTAGATCCATCCATGTGTATTTATACACAATCCAATACTTCTCTTATCTAAAGCACAGATCAGATCTTTATTAGAATATCTAAATTTGAGTCCTAAAACTTAAACAATGATATATACAGTAAGAAAAAGTTTCTTAAGACTGTTTCAAAAGGGGCACAAAGACATTCTAAAAGAAATAACAACTATTTAAGTGATCACATTTCAAATGGATTTTATGAAAGTATTAGATATTTATAACTTTGAGTCACGTCTCATAAACAATATTATAAATTATTAGTTATATTCCTAAATTTAGGAATCATCCCAAGAAGGATGATTAAAAGCTGTTGGCATTATGTTAGGTGTAGAGTTGTACACCATTAAGGAGAAAGGAGATCTGAGTTCTAGTTTGAGTTTTACCAGCTATTAGAAAATTTCAGATTCTATCATTGCAAATCAAGCAAGACTAGGTGATACCTAAGGTCACTGTATGCTTTAACAGTCATGACACAGAACCAAAAGCATCATTTCAGATATTCATTTATTACTTATAACAGCATTTTTATGTAAACTGAATGCCAATTTCTAAAACCAGTAAGGGCTCTCTCAATTCTAACAATGGCAGCCCTTCTCTATGTGAACATGAACTGAGGGAGCTGTTAAGCTACTTACTCAAGATACCAGTGGTTTGTCCTTTACTTTTATTATTATTATCTCTTATTTGTTCTCTACATCTTAATTCTAGCATAAGAAACCACCCTTCTATGGAAGGCTCCTTTTCTGGAGTCAGAAAAAACAATTATTTAGATCACTGCTCAAGTGTTCTGTATTAGGAAATACAAAGCTGGAGAGGTAATGGAAAGAAGACTTGAGAACTGCCAGAACACCCTCTGTGTGCAATTGTTCAAGAGAAATGAACAAACTAGAACAAAAATGAATTAGGACTAATAACTTTACAAAAGATAAACCCAGGCTCCCCCCAAGGTATGTGTGTATGTTTATGTTTTTGTATGTATGTATGTGTGTGTGTGTGTGTGTGTGTGTGTGAGAGAGACTAAGGATTAAGCCCGGGACACTGTACCACTAAGCTACATTCCCTGCACACACACCCTCCCCCAACTTTTTTTTTTTTTTTTTTTTTTTTAATTTTGAGACAGGATCTCACTAAATTGCAGAGGCTGATTTCAAACTTGCAATCCTCCTGCCTCAGCTTCCCTAGTCACTGGGATTACAAGCATGTGAACTCAGTGCCTGGTTATATATGTCTTTTTCTGCTTAAAAAAGTAGTGGGTAATCATTCTCAATCTATATTGAGGGTATAATGAAATGAAATGGATACAAGGATAAAGAACTTAATTTTGGCAAATAGATAATTTCTATAGTTGCTCTAATACAAACCAATGACAAACATGGGAATAAGTTACCAAGTATGGTTGGCAGAATAGCCCTCAAAGATGTCCATGCCCCATTACTAGAACCTATAAATATGTTACATGGTAGAGGGGAATTAAGGTTGCTAATTAGATAGGAGAGTGTCCTAGATTATACAGATAGGCTCCATGTAATCACAAGAGTCCTTAAAAATAGGAGACAGAAGAGTCTGTTGGTAAACGTGATATATGAAGGAACGTTAAGTGAGGACCTTACAATGATTGGCCATTGCTCACGTTGAAAATGTAGAAAGAGGATTGTAACCCAAGGAATGTGAGTGGTCTTGTTCAATATAACTTTCTCAATGATGAAAAGGTCTCTAGAATATGGAAAAAGCAAAGAAATGGATTCTCCCCTAAAGACTCCAAAAGGGAACATATCCAGTCCAACCCCCTAATTTTAGTATGATAAGACCCCAGGTCAGACAGTTGACCCAAAGAATACTAAGATAAATCTGTGCTATTTTAAGCCACCAAATTTGTGTTAATTTGCTACAGAAGCAATAGAACACATTTTCTGTTAAGATTTTTAAAGCAGGATTTTCATCTTTCTGAAATACTTTATAAATGACAGCATTTGTAATTCTTTCCATTTCTGTGCATGAATTGAAGGTCTATATATTAATGTTACAACCAAAGCATTTCTACAAAATCAGGGAAAGAACATTGAATGGAGTGGACAACAGCCAAGTGGACTATCTAGATCAGATTCTCAAATCTTAGTATGCATATCAATTTTTGTTAAAATGCAGGTTCAGAGCAGGAACAGATTCCTCATTTCTAAATAAGTTCCTTGATAATGATGATGAAGACATTCCTCAGATCACAGTTGAATTAGCAAAGGGACAGATACCAGCCTTATAGTTCTAGGTTTGTAAACCTATTCAATCCTACTCTGAATATACCATCTAAAAGTATATACAAAGTTTTCTTAAACCTGCTTACCCTCAGATAATATTGCTTGGACAATAATAGTCTCACCACTACTAAAAGAAATGTTTTCTCCATTTAATTCTGAAACACTTTCAAGGACCAAAATTTCAAAGTTTGATGAAAACTGACTGGCTCCATCAATAATCAAATGTCTCCAAACATTTCTCCCTATTTAGAGGGAAGCAGTGTGATTATGGGAATAGATGAGCCTTAGAGTCACAAGGTAACTCTAAATCCTTGCCTTGTTAATAATAAATGCTATGAAAAACTGGGCAAAGTACATGTTATCTCTGAGCCTCTTTCCGTCTTTCTATGCAGGGTGGGAAAACAATGCCTCTCTCAGTAGCTTGAGTGCATTATTAATGTTTTAATGTCAACTATGTAATGATGCCCAGTAGGTTTCTTTCCTCTAGGCTCTTGATAAATGTCATTTTCTTTTTGGGTTTCATGTCAGTTAAATTTCTTTTCATTCTCTTGATCATTTTAGTTGTACTCCTCCATATGATTGTAAGAAGAACAGATAGAAGCATCAGTGTTGCAAATCTGTGTCATGAATTTGTTCAAAATATTTTTCCTCTCTTCTTCTGTAATGGAGCAAATGCTTCAATTTTGCCATAAATCTAGCTCCTTATCAGAATTTTCAAATTCCAAGTGGTCTGTGTTGAACTACTCTATTTACTTATATCACCTCCCTTATAGCTTTCAGTTCTTGACTTCGAGACTACTTTCATCTATGTCCAACCCAGTGCTTGTTCAATATAACTTTCTCAATGATGAAAAGGTTCAATTCTAAGTTATCCAAAATAGTAGCCAAGAGCCACATCCGTTCTCTGAGCACTTAAAATACAAGTAGTGTCACCATACAACTGAAATTTTCATTCTATTTATATTTATTTCAAATTTAAATAGCGACCCATGCTAATAACTACCATGTTGGAATAGCACAAGTATAACTTGCCAGAAGCTCAACAGTTTACACTAAATCYAAAATGCCATCTGGAAAGTCTCTCAATTCACCCTAATTTCCATTTCTTTGTTAGAATGGCTAATACTTATGCATACCAATTTTGCCAAATGTATGGCATTAAATATTTTTACTAGCTAAGGCAACCACTTACTTTTCAGAAAACTTCTTGTGGCCACCTAGGATGTTTTGTGTTGATATTTAATGGTTGTTCCTTAAGTGTGAGCCAGAGTGCGCTAAAGTGTTTCCTCTTTTTTAATAAGGGCTAAGGGAATTGGTTGAAAAGAGGAGATAAAAGCCTCTGGAAACACTAAGTATGATTATTGCATTTTAATCAAGTAATCATGTACATCTATCAAGATTATTTGGTTGAAATCATTGTAAACTTGACTTCTGTAAATACTTAAAAACTTTCCCCCAAAGTTTTCCTCATCAGATTCAAAGTATTTTACAAGTAATTGTTAGCATTTGTTATCTGCACCTGGAAAACTATAGCAAAGAAAGGTTCAAGAATTGTGTCCAAGGGTCATTACGTTAAAGTGAGATAAATACTGCAAAAATCTTATGCAAAGTGAAGACCAGGGGTCTGGAAAGGCGAGATGGTAAGGAAAACATTTACCTGATGCCTCTCCTGGGAAACAGAGTGGGAGAAAACTGTCTTGAACCTGCTTACTCTCAGATAATATTGCTTGGGCAATAATAGTCTCTAAAATAACTATCCACTACAAAAAAGAAATGTTTTCTCCATTTAATTCTGAAACACTTTCAAGGACCAAAATTTCAAAACAGATCAGGGGGGTGGACGTATTACACCTTTTCACGGTGGGCAAAAAGACGACCACCCTAACACACAAATCTGACAATCATAAGCAAAATCTCTCATGCCATAACCTTCCTCTGCTTCTCACACCTTTGACCTGGCAGATTTTAAGGAAGGAGATGGGTCAGAAACTACCTCTCCTTTCTGCGCTAACACACACCCCGAATGGCTTCTCTAGCAACCAGATCCCCAAAGCATTTGCCCTCTTCTGGAAAGCTTGTCGCTTCTTTCGTTCAAGGAATGGAGTAATCAGGGGCCTAATGAAGAAGTCCCACCAGGGCAGCAGTCACCAACCTGCCGGGGAGAGGTGAGGCAGAGGAACTTTCCGAGCCAGAAGCAGCCAGCGCCGCACCATGGGGGCCGCCATCTTGGAGCGTACCATGAGGAGGGCCGGTAGGGGGCCGTAGGCAGAGAAGGGGCGGGACACAGTCCTCCCTGTGGGCTCAGAGATTGGATGAATCGCGTTCTGAGCTTTCGGCGATCCGTCCCCCGCCCCCAGCTCTCACAGGTGGTGCGGCCCGGGACAATATGGCTGCATTTCGGTCCTTGGAACGAGCTCTGCAGCAAACGACACGGACTTCTTTTTATCCCGGGGTGGAAGCCGCAGGCTCCAACTGCTGCCGGTGCCCACTCGGAGGTATCCGCGGCATCAGGCCTTGGAAGGAGGGGAGGGGATGGAAAGGAAGGGAGTGTTAAGCCTTGCCAGGCTTCTCGTTGGGGAATCGCTCATCGACCTGGAGCGCGCCCTTGCCCTCCAGTCGCACGTGGGTATGGCAGTGACCCCTGGGGGTCGTGAAAGCCTCCAGTGCATGGAAACGGAAGGAGGACTGCAAGGGGCGACTTGCTCTCCCTGGACACTCCTCACCCTTTGGGCAGGGTTTAGGAGGGAAGATCTTAGTTTGGACTCTCAGCTCTGCTGCTACAAATAAAAAGACCTTGAAAGGGTTTTCTCGTTCTCAAGATTATCCTTACCACCTTACCAATGATTAAACCTGAGAATGCTAGTGAGTGATGATAAGCAAACTTAGCACTTTTTCTAATGTATTTTACATGTAATAACGCCTTTCCTCCAAACACCCAATGGGAGAGGTTTACCTCCTCAGAGTGGGAGAAAACCTCTGTTTACAGAGGAGGAAACACTACAATGTTAAAGTCATTTGCCCAAGGTCACAGGGAACTGGTAGAGGCAATATTTGAACTAGGTTAACAGTGGAGACCTCCCAATCATGCCATGGACTGCCTTTTCATAAATATTAGCAGTACACAGAATTCTTTTATTGGGTACTTTGCCATTCTTCATCCATTTTATATCATGCACAGCTGAGAATTCCGAAGTATGGATATTTCTCAGATTATTAAGCTGTTATGATGATTTATCTTGAGGATAGAGTCCAGATCTGAAAGGCCATGATCCTTTTATTTCACAAAGGACAAAACTAGAAGTTTCAGTGGTTGTATAATAGCTTTTTCCACTCTACTATATGCTCCCAGATAAACAAAACACAATATGCTTGTTTTACATTTAAATGACAGCTTAAAAAAAAAATGTGTGTTACCCTTAAACCACATGGCAAACAACTATTTTGTCCTTTAAATCTCAGCTTCCTGTCAACCAGTCCTCATACACAGTTAATAACTAGCTCCTTTCACACACAAACAAAATTTATTTTACTGAGTACTTTCGTTTGCTGGTTGTTTCGAGATATCTTTCCCTATCAAGTTTATGTCATATTATAATAGATAACAGTAAGATCAGATCATTAGATCAGACTCTACTTATGTTATTTGCTAAGTGTAAAGCAGTAAAAATGATGTTTTTTTCCCCTAATTTTTAGCTAAAAGATATCTACTTACAGATAATATCATGAAATTAAAAGAATTTCAACATAAGAAGTTGGCTATTGCATATAATCTTCCTGACACCAAAGGTAAATAGAATTTATTTTGTTAATTCTTTTATCTGTCATTTCAGTTTCCTCTTTGTCTCTATTCATTCTTTGCTTTGGTGACCTTCAATCTCATAGAAAAAGTTGATAACATTTCTTCTTAGCTTCCTAGACTACCCTTAGATTCACCTTTCATTTCACACCCTACTACTTCAAAGTCTATGGCTTTCCTCTTACCTTTTGTCCCAGAATCCAAGAAGAGATGCAAATAGAAAGGCGCCACATGCATATACACACATATATATAAGAACTCCAGATGACCGGCTGTCAAACTTTTATGTAGCTTTCAGTGAAAAATATATTTAATCACATAGACATGTGAATGAAATAAAACAGTGCTATATGTGATGATGCATTTTGATTTTCTTGTTATTTTGTTTTTGATACTGGGAATTGAACTCAGGGATGCTTAACCACTGAGCCACATCCCCAGCCCTTTTTACTTTTTACTTTGAGACGGGGTCTTACTAAGTTGCTTAGGGCCTCGCCAGTTTGCTGAGGCTGGCCTTGAACTTGTGATCCTCCTGCCTTAGCCTTCCAGGTTACTGGGTTTACAGGTATGCACCATTCATTGAGTCTAGCTCATTTTGGTATTTTTTAAGTCAGTAGGATCAAGGGTTTTTTAAAGAACAGGAGGAATTTGTATAAAACCTGGAATTTTAAAAGTCCAGTGTGTTTGGGGGAAGTGTAGAGGGAAAAAATTTGTAGCATATTGATAATTGTTGAGGTTGGATGATGGTAATTTTTCTCTACTTTTGGGTGAGCTTAAAAAGCTAAAAACATGCTGGGCGTGGTGGCACATGCCTGTAATCCCAGCAGCTTGGGAGGATGAAGCAGGACAATTCTGAGTTCAAAGCCAGCCTCAGCAATAGTGAGGCACTAAGCAACTCAGTGAGACCTGTTTCTAAATAAAATAAAAAGAAAGGGCTGGGGATGTGACTCAGTGCTTAAGCACTGAGTTCAATTGCTGGTAACAAAAGCTAAAAACACAAGAATACCACTATCTTAGGTTTATTTCCTTTCAACATTTGAGAAATTTTGTTCTTCCCTCCAACAGAGAGTTTATCCTGGTACTTCAAACTCCTTTATGAATATTTCCAAGACATTCCTCTTTTGTAATAACTCTAATTTGTCTCTATTGACTTTTCCAGCTATAATCCCAGCTCTCCTTCTCACTGGGAAATGATTCTGAGCACCCAAGTAACACTTCTTGCTTTCATTCCTTCCCAGCTGTTCCTTTAGAAATCAGTCATCCCCCACTGCTTCACTAGTGATACTGCTATGTAACACCACCCAATTTTGTATGTAATACAAAAATAAGACTTAAAAAGTGCAATATAATGTGTTTATCTCCAGTTCATTATACTGAACAATCTAGACTTCTTTTTGCCCCAGGTATTTTTGACCTATTGAGGTTTATAGTCAGGGCCCCATATCATTATCTAGTTGTTGTTTCCAATTGTTATAGACTTATAAAACTGACAGTGGTTCACATGTCCTGAAAGATAATCTAATTAGTGCCAACATACTCCATTGTCAAATTGGCATTTTTAAACTCCTGTCAGCAGTTCTTCCATTTTGAGAACCCACAACTGCACTATGTTGTATACCATATCATATGCCTCCTTACCCCCGACGGCTTCTATCCCTGCCATAATGGACCTGACCCTCTCTGGTGTCCAGTGTAGCTTCTTATTCATCTGGTCACTGCTCTTCTTCCCATAATGCTTTTACCCCCAGTTCTATTCTGTTACTCTTGCTGATTCCCGTACCCAGAATGACCCCCTGCTTTGTTTCTCCAGCTCTACTCAGTCCCTTCTGGTATCTGTCCAATTCCACCAAATCTGGTCTTTCCTGCCACACTGAGTCATTATAGCTCTCATGATAGGACTCTTCTGTCCTATTGTGTTTATAGTCCTTCACATGTCCCTCTTCCATCATTTTTTTCAGATAGCTTTGTATAAATATATTTTGCCTTCCTGAATAGGCTTTAAGCTCTTTGAGTGCAGGAACCATTCTCAAAGGATGACTCTGAATATAAATATATGATAAGCCATTAAATGCTGATTGATTTGTTTTTAATATACAACATACATCTTTTGACATTGTGGATTCTTAAGATTTGTTAAGAGGGATTAGGAAGTTCAACATGTAAAACTATGCTTTTGAGATCTTTCATATTGGAAATTGCTTAGAAATATTTAATAGACTAAATCCTCTTAGATCTAACAGGAGGCAGAGTGAAAATGAGGTCAGTAATGTTACTACTTACTAGCAGCTATTATATGGTGTTAAGTGTTTTCAGACATACCATGTAGCCCATGAGATCTCACTTTATACACAAATAATATAGTCTCTGTACAAAGGTCTCCTCCAGAGCATGCAATGGCAGAGCCCAGGTTCTGGGCTCTAAAACCTTTAACCACTGTATGGCTCTACAAATAGATTAGAAGATCCTTTGCGTTATGTCAAACCAAGTGTGTCTTCTTGTAAATCAACTTCATAGTTTTTGTGTTTTAATATATATTGCCACTTCTAGCAGCATTCCTTTTCAAAGCTCTGGGCCTTGGAACAAATTATAGATATTTCTTGGCAGCTTCCAATGTGAGAACAGCCCTGGAAAGCAGATGCTTGCTTGGTTCCTGCCTTGCATCCCACCCCACGTTTAGTGATAATGTAGCCCCTTCCTAATGCCAAGAAGCAGTGCTTCCTTTTGGTGTTTTTCCCTATAGTTGATTAGACACAAAGATAAGGGACAAAGCTAGACTGTTATGACCTTGAAGTGCTTCTATCACTAAATGCTCACTAGTGGACTTTTTAAAAAAGTTATATAGTACTGTGGCATGCTTTCTAAGAACTGAGTAAAGAGAAACCAAGAGGAATGAAAGAAAAGTGAAAATGAGCCAGATAAAAGAAACATGAAGGCAACATCATGGATAAACCCATGTTCAGATCACATTTTCATTTTCCTGTTTAGTGCCATGCTAATTGATGATTTGGGTATCTGATTATGTTTTCTTCTTGTAAGCTTCCTATAGATTAGGTTATTTGGGTAAGACTCTGGGACAGTAGTTCTCAAAAGTTGGCATACCTGAGGATCTCCCAGGGAATCAAAAATGCCTTTCTGTGTACTCCCACTCGTAGAAGTTCTGTTGTAGAAAGTTTTGAGTGGGGCGTGGGCCAGTAACCCTATGTCACAGGTTTGCTTTAGGGACACATGACACTTGGTGCTCTAGAGGAATCAGTGAGGGGAGCTGTATGCCCAGCAACCCCTTTCAGTGCCCCTTTGCAGTGAGCTTCCCCTTTTCCCTGAGGTCAACCCCCTTACAGTCTTAGCCTGAGTGATGGCCACATCCTGTGCTTTCTTCCAGAAACCTATTTTAGAAACTTGGAAGAGAAATTGACCCAGAACAAACTCATCTTAAAGGACGAATTGAGAACTTTGCTTCATTTGTGTCAGACCCGGGATGATGTGGAGCTGGCTAAAAATGTCATGTACAGGTGAGGCATTTCTTTAGAATTCCTCCAGCCTTCCTTTCTTCTTATTCTGTTCCTTTCCCAGAGCAACTTCACCCACCTCTAAGATTTCAGCTATCACCTCTACATTGATTCTTTCCAAATCTTGTCCAAATGCCTTGCCTTAAACCCCAGACACTGACATTTATTCATTGAATGAACACTTACTGGGTTTGTACTACATGCCAGGGGCTGAGACAGGCTACAGTWATTCATCGACAAAGAAATCATCAATCTAATCACTGATTCCACTTCCCTACCCTCTTAACATACACAAACTTATTTCTCTTCCTATGTCTTCTATCTAATTGACCTGTCATACAGGACAAATATTTTGGAGCATTTTCCCCTTAGTCTGATTTCCCTCATTTTCCGGATGGAATAAGAAATCCCAGTGCTTGCTCACTCCCTAGTACTGATATCAGTGCAGGCTTCAGTGTTTCTTTCTTTGATCAGTTCAGTGGACTCCTAGCTGTTCTGCTTCCTTCTTAGTCCTGTTTGACCTTTCTGATTTATTAGTAGAGCTTCCCATGTTAGAAGGTGCTGGAGGGTCCAAGAAGGCTTCACTTGAATTTCTGCTACCTCCATGTGGCCACATGTGCTCTCCTGAAATGCCTCACCAATCTTTAATCTAATTTGAGTGGCACTGGCTCACAAAGTCAAAGTGAGGGGAAATGGATCCCCCCTCTGGATGGATGGAGCAGCATGCACATACAGGGAGGGAAGAAACTGATGACCACCATCTATTAATCTAAGAAGCTACTGGGAGTATTTTTATTCAGATTTTTTTTCTATACAAAGAGTTATGGTTTTGGTAAGTTTTATTTTATATAGATATAATTATTATTATATATGTAATGATATTTTGTTTTCTAAATAATGTTATAGCATAATTTTCCTTTATTAACGTATATTCAGAAAGCATCTTTTATATATATATATATATATATATATATATATATATATGTGTGTGTGTATTTTTTTGGTGGTGGTACTAGGGATTGAACCCAGGGGTGCTTTGCCATTGAGTACATTCTCAGCTGCTGCCACCACCCGTACCTTTTTGTGAAGACTGGATCTTTCTTGCTAGGTTGCTGAGGCTGGCCTTGAACTTGGAACCCTCCTGCCTCACCCTCCCAAATTGCTGGGATTGTGGTTGTGTGCCATATTGCCCAGCACCCAGGAAACCTTACACCTTTTGATGACAATATAATACTCCATTATAAATTAACTACCTTAAATAACTATGTCCCCTTTATATGTTGAACATATAAATTGTTTCTAGTTTTTCACTAGTATACATAAAACCCTGATGAGCAATTCTGCATAAAACTAATTCTTTGTTTCTTTTTGGGGGTGAGGGAGATCAGAGAGTGTATTAGGCAGCTTTCCATCACTATAATAAAACACTAGAGACAGGTTACTTATGAAAAAAGTGTTTTATTTAGCTCATGGCACTGGCATTACCTCATTTCTCTTGATGGTGCCATGTAGTTGATGGCAGCAGTGGGAGAATATGAGAACCATGTGATCACATCTGCATGTGGGAAGCCAGAGAATAGGTGGAGCCACTCTTGGCTTTTTGTAACAACTATCTCTCAAGAACTACCTACAGGTCAAGAACCACCTTAATTCCTTGCAGCATTCTCAGTTGACTTAAGGACCTTCCATTAGGCCCCCACCTCTAAAATAATACATATACCTCATTGTTGTCGCCCTGAGAGCAAGCTTCCACCACACAGACCCCTGGGGAACAAACCAAATCCAAACCACAGCAGACAGTAGGGACTTGTTAAAGTTTGTCAATATAAAATGTCATAATGTTTGTACAAAAAGATTAGGCTGATTTACAGTTGCATACTCAAATTTCATGGTGTTTAATGATTGGAGACCTTCTGGCAATTTCCCATCTCACTCCTCCTTTTACTACCTAAAGCCAACAGATGTTCGTAAGAGTAGCAAAATGGGTTAAAAATTCTGAACACTCTTTCCACTCTTATTTTTATCATAAACATTCAATGTATGACTCTCAATTCTTTATTGATGCAAATAGTTCTACCCAGTTGGCCTTTTTCCCTCTGTAGATAGCTGGACAAGTGGGAAGATGGGAAAGGGGGTCATGAGCTGAAACATAAATAAATATTATGTTTTTTAATCTTTTAATAAAGTCACAAACGGGGAGTAACTTAATCCCCTTATAGTCTTGACCAAATGCTGAAATTTGGTTTGTGGAGGGATTTTACATCCTCTTACTTGAATATTTCTTGTCAAGTGGCAGTTCATTATCTCAGTGACTTTCTAGCACTTTTATTGTCTTGAATTTCATTTTGAATGTAAATGTCAACTCAGGAAAACATTTGTTTTTGCTTTCTGTTGTTTTTAATCTGGCACAAGTTTCATATGAGACTGTACTGAAGTACAGATTTTAGAGGTGTTTCTCAGCATGCCGTGTGTTGTATAAGAGCTAACATACTAAGGATTTCCTGTGTCCTATAAGCAAGTCTTATCTCATTTAATCCTCACAGAATATTTTGAGTTGAGTTCTCTTCTCTCTATTTTATAGATGAGGAAACTGAGGCACTGAAGGGTTTTGTTAATTTGCTCATGGTTACATAATTTGTAAGTAGAAGAGCTGGAATTTGAACCAGCATTTTGGAATTGGAGTCTAAATTCCTTAACCACTACTTGCTCTTATTTTTTCATAACTTAATTCAAAAGAGTTATAATGAAGCAGTGAATAATTTATAACTTCTGAAGTTGGATTATAAAGTGTATCTTCAAAAGTACATAGTCCCTGGGCAGTACATAAGTTTAGAATAGACCAGCCATAATGCCTCTCTTACTTGCCTCAGTTATTTCAGCATAGGGTAAAAAATATTCTCTTTTGTAAAGTCAGAGCTTTCCTCCATATTTTAAAATCATTCACGTCATGAAAATCATTGTCATGTTCACCAGATTATCCTCACAGTGTCTACAGCTGGAAGGGTGGGTTATTGTAAGTAACTTRTACTATTGATTCACAGTTTCAATTTCAGACTGGCCACCTATAGAACTCTCAAGCTACATAAAATACATAGCTGCCCTTGAAATTAACCTTTTCCCAAAACTTACAAATTATATAAGTGCATTTAATTTGTACTAGGTGGTCGTGGTTCACATATGCCTACATTTTTGTGAGCTTATAAAAGCAGAGATCGCCATAAATTGTGAAATGTGTCAGTTGTCTGCTGTCCTGTATGGGCATGACGCCAGCTTGGAGGAGCCCAGACCATCAACCCTGCTCCTTACCTTTCTTTTCTTGTAGGTGGGGCCACTTCTGAGGAGACAGATCCCTGCTGTTTCCTAATTTAGCCTTATTCTCAGATCAATTCCATTGATGCTTAATTTAGAGAATGATCGCAGTGTACATTTTCTCCTCTTGCTTTTATTGCACAGTGTTTGTTGGCCTCCAGTAGAGTCTGTTTAAAATGCCTGACATATTTCTGCACTCCAGGATTCTCTGATTTTGTTCAAATCTCCACTTTTCTCTTTGCAGATTGGAGTATCTCATTCCTTATTGTGTCCTTAGCACCTAGCAGTGTGCATACCATGCTGTTATCTATCCTTTTTACTGTGTCCCACCTTTTGACTTATTGAATCATTTTGATTACCAGGTACCATACAGAGAACAGAAATGTCACTTTGGGGGAATATAAGTTTGGACCTGTTTTCATGAGGCTGTGTTATGAGTTGGATCTTGAGGAGTCTGCAGTGGAGCTCATCAAAGACCAGGTTATTTTTTCCTGATTAATTTGCCTGCCAATATGATTTCCTCAAGGGGTATATTTTGTCATTATCAGAAAAGACATCTTTTCAATAGACATTATTCCTGGGTTAGATTTTCAGACAAAGGCCACTACACTGAATGAATAATTCAATTCTCTGCATTTTAAAAGTTTCCTTGGGGTTGGTTTATACCAAGTAGTATAAGTCTCTATGCCTTTGCAGCAGTATCTGCCACATTTTGAGAATATGCTGACCTCTTTTTTTCAGAAACTTCCAGGGGAGGATGGCTTAAGACAAGGTGCCATTATATGATCCCTTTCCTATTTTTTACCTGTGTTCTTTTTTTGTTTTTATTTCTGATGGAAGACTACATTTATAAAGTTCTTGTCCACTTGGGTTTTTTTTTTTTTTTTTTTTTGTTCTGAGAATTGAACCCAGAGATCCCTTTACCACTGAGCCACGTCCCCAACCCTTTTTAATTTTATTTTGAGGCAAGGTCTCTCTAAGTTGCTTTGGGCCTCACTGAGTTGCTGAGGCTGGTCTTGAACTTGGCGATCCTCCTGCCTGAGCCTCCCTAGTTGCTGGGATTATAGGTGTGGTCCTCTGGGCCTTATTCTTGTCCTATTTCAAAATGTTTTCACATATTATAATTTTCTTTTCCTAAAAATAAAAATAATAGCTATTTTTGCAATTATTTATTTAATATTTGCTGCATCCTCAACATTGTACTTTTGCACTTTACACATTTCATTTCATTGTTTTCCATAGTAAATCTGATAAGGTAATGAGGAGACTGAGGCTTGGAGACATTATAAATTCATCCTTGGTCAGAAATATTTGTTGAATTTGGGGGCTGGGACTGGCCACTGTGTACATTTTAGTATATTTAGTAACCTCTATAACAAATTACTTTGTCCTTTTGCCTCTTTCTCTTTTTCATATAAAGTGTTCTGTATGTGGTGGAACTCTTAACCCTAGGCTTGTCCTGCCTTAAGGACACCTGTATGTTGGACAGATGATCATAAAATACGAGTAAGCAGACAAAAGGTAGATTCAGAACAGTACCAATAGTTTGATCTTATTTTTTTTTCTTAAAAGAAGAAAAAATATATATACAAATATATATGTATATTTTACTATGTGGCTGTTGAAACTCAGGAAACTATACTGTATATCTTTGATATTAGAATTATTAAAAATTCTTACTTCATATTTTATATAATTTTGTATTGTTTGACTTTTTAAATAAGCATGTTTTATATTGTTGTAATTACTGGAAGACAAATGTTTCATTGTAATAAAGTTGTGAATATTATGGTGAAAAAGAAAAAGGTTTTTTTTAAACTCATTTATGAAAAATTCCTGTGTAAGTAAGTTTTTTGGAATAGAACGAACAGAATTAAGAATAAGTGAGGGCTGTGGTTGTGGCTCCATGGTCGAGTGCTTGCCTAGCATGTGTGAAGCACTGAGATCGATTCTCAACACCACATATAAATAAATAAAGGTCCATCAACAACTAATAAAATATTAAAAAAAAAAAAAGATTAAGTGCGTAAGACCTAATTTTCCACTGTGCTGTCTTCTCAGAGGTCTTCTCTCTCTGCTTTTTACGCCTCTCCTGTCTCTTTTATCCTGCATCATTGTTCTTCAGAGCCTTTATTGATGCCTGAAATTATAGTTTTCTTCTTCATTTGTATTCACTTGTTCATTTTCTCCTCCACCAGAATTGAGCTTTAGTAAATAATAAACCCAAGTAGAGTTTAGGACAGGGTATGCATATTATTTAGCATTTGTCTTTTCTCAGCATCTAGAACAGGGTAGGTTCTCAAAAAAGAACAAACTTAAGCAATGCATTTAATGACATAATGTGAATATCACCTGTCACATTATCAGGGCATTCATTTGGGGAAAATGTCAGAGAGGTATTAGTTCATGGATAATGCACAGTTTCAGTCAGAAGGAATAGATCTATATTGTATAACATGATTACAATAGTTAATAACAGTATATTATAGTCTTACAAATTGCAAAGAGAATAGATTTTAAGTGTTCTCACCACAGAAAATTTTAAGTATGTGAAGCAAGGCACATGTATACATATTTCAAAGCCACATGTATACATATTTCAAAGCCACATGTCCACAGGAATATATGCAAAAATATATGCAATTTTAGTCAATTACAATAAACAGATACAAGACGAAAAAGTGTTGAGAAATAATGTTGAGAACCACTAGTTTAGTGAATTGTTTTCGAAAAGTTATCCATTTGTGAATTGAGGACAATGGCTGTGTGAGACCCTTCTGTCTTACTTCCCAAGTATATTCATAGCTGTTGTATTGTATTAATAGTTGGTACCTAGGTTCCAAGGCCACCCTACTGGGGTTAACTGGTTTGTTTTTCAGAGCCACATTTCATACAGATGTTCTTCACTGTATTTATGAAGCCCAGAGAGCTCTTGCCTCTTGTTCAGTGTGCATATTCCCAAAGGCAACACAGTGGGCAGCAGCTTAACTTCTTTCAAAAAATAAATATTTGGTATTTCAGATTATTAGAGATCTCAGGAGGCCAGATGCAGCCAGAATAAGACTTGGATAGAGAAGATACAGTATAAATGCCTCTTAAATAGTTTTAACTTTTTACCAAACTGTATTGTTTTTCTTCATTAGCATTTACATGGTTTCTTCTCAGACTCCACATCATTCAATATTTTGATGGATATGTTATTTATCAAAGGCAAATATAAAAGTAAGTACTACCACCTGTTGCTGAAATATTCTGCTGTCTTTGGTAATGTAGCAATTAGGGGGGGAAATGGACCATGCAAAAACAACCCTTATGAGGGGCTAAATTATGGAGACCTCATTATTTAAGTTTGAAAACATTGCATTGCATGTTATTCCTTCAATGAAACATTTCAGATTTTGCTGATGCTAAAATTGTGTCAGCTTTTAAAATTTTAGTTCTTCCTACATGACCTGATAATTTGACATTTAGCTAATTGCTGAATGACTTTAGAACAGCTTTTATTCTACTGAATTCAGTAGATGGTGCTGAACAAGTTAGAGCTTTGGGCACCACCAGTAGATGGATTTAACACTGCTGGCCACTCCTCACTTTTGGCAGATGCCTTGGAAGTGTTGATAGAGATGAAAAACCAAGATGTGAAGTTCACCAAAGACACCTATGTCCTTGCGTTTGCAATTTGCTACAGACTGGTAAGACTATTTCCTTTTAACTTTCAGGGCATTGTGGGTAGTGTTTGAAAGGAGGTTTATTTTTATTCTCTACAAATAAAGTTCAGTTTCTCTGAAGTCTGTTTTCCATCTGGTGGGAATATTTCAATTTTAAATGTATTCATTTTTAGAAAACTCAAGTTAGTCTTGTCTGACAGTTTGATCATGGGAAAAGCAATTAATTATCTTTTACTCTTCTCTGAAGATTGTGTAGATAGTGAGAACAAAGACTGTGTCAGGGTCAAGCTCTGCTCTAGAGTTGTCTCATATGCTGGACTCTACTAGATCTGTTTTTCTTGTTGCCATTTTCTCTGAAATCAGAGCATCCTTCTGTGTCAAACTCCAGAACTACCTTGCTCTCATCTGTGAAGTTTTTGTGATCGCCAGTACTAAAGTGACATCTCCTCCAAACATCCCCTAATTGTGCTCTATTTATATCACATACTTGTACTTAACTTTGCCCAGATTTCTTTCTCCTCACTAGAGCAGGAGATCCCTGAGGCTTCTTTGTATCCCAGCATCTGACATTGTACCTAATACCTGACAGGGCTTTAATAAATGTTTATGGCATTCAAAAGGCTTTCTAAGGACGGGGGCCCTGGCTTACAAGTCCTTATGTCATTACTGTACCAGGATTGTTTCTTATACATAAAAACTATTCCTTCAGTATTTGTTCAGTGATTAATAACTGAAATAGTGAAATGACCAAGCCTCAGTACATTACTTTAGTCATTCATGCCATTTAATCTTTGGATATTTGGATAACAGAATCATTTTATACTGAAAACAAAAGAACACCAAGCAAGGCTGAAGAACATGGGCCTTTGAAAAGCTCCCTAATATAGCAGTACCAGCTTTCCAAAACAGAGAGGCAGGTGGGTTAACAGTGGAAATGAGACCAAATGGGAAATTGAGAAACTTGGAGTCTAGTCTCAGTTTTTTATCAACTGACTTATGTCTTTGAACTGAGCATGCATGTACCTCACTTATAAAATGAGAGCGGGTTGGATTCAGCAGTCAGCAAGCTTTTTCTGTAAAAGGCCAAATAGTAAGTATTTGAGGCTTTGAGGAACATACAGTTTCTGCCACATATAATTTCTGTTACATATTCTTTGTTTTTTATTTTTATAAGCCTTTAACAATATAAAGACCATTCTTTGCCGTAGACTGGATATAGCCCAAGGGCTATCATTTGCTTACACCTGGGTTAGATCACATTCTTCCCAACCACACCATCCTATGATCCTTCTGGAGCAGAAGGCCAACAAAACACACAACACTGGAGCATCAGTTAGTCAATTTTCTGGCCAATTTAAAGACACTTTCCTGTGTGTATGCTGAGGTAGAATTCAATTCTTATGCATAAGAAGAGCAAGAAGACTTTTCTCTTGCATTGTGTCCAAGAATAACTTGTTTCACTTAGTAGAGACAAGCTGGAAAACTGAGCTGGTCAGGCAGTGCAGATTCCAGGTCAGTTCTGAGAACTGCCCTCTCATCAAATGCAGACTTGTTTGAGGATTGGAAGGTAAGTCATGGCATGACAGAGGACACACGCACAGCTGGTGCTATTCTCGAAAGCTTCATCCACCTGCAGCGTGACACGGGGTGGAAAGGGATTTGGTTCACCATTGTTGTCTTGCTTGTTTGTGGGTCACTCACATTCTTGAATTTTTTTAAGGTTTCTGTTTTCAGGAGATTCTTTTACAATTTATCTTCATATTAGTGTTGATGTTTTTAAATATTTAAGCTTATATAGATATTTTCAGATTGGAAATCCTTCCAGAAAAGTTTCCTAGTGTTACTGAGCATTACTATACTATTTAGTAGAGTAGCAGGCTGTCTGGAAACTAGCTTGTCCAGATACAAAGAGACCTGGATGCCTCAAGTCAGAAGTTGACAAACAGCTTGAAAAGTAAAGTTAAGCTAGATTTGAGTGGCGAACATGTAGGTAACCTGTTCTGTTTGCAAAGACCATTATTTGCTGTAAGAGGAGCTTAGCTTTTTAATTGACTTGAGGTAGGCTCTGGGAAATACTTACAAAAGAATATCTGAAATGCTAAGCACATTAATTAGTTTTAAAGTTAAAAGTTCATGACATTTATTAAGCAATCCTGTCTCCTCACAGAATAGCCCAGAGTCTTTTAAAATCTGTACTACATTAAGAGAAGAAGCCCTAATCAAAGGAGATGTTCTTTCCAGGAGAGCCTCCTGCTTTGCAGTGGCGTTAGCTCTGAACCAGGTAAGATTTGGGGTGCACATAAGTAAATTGGGAGTGGGCAAGACTTCCCTACTTTCATTTATTTTTTATTTTAATTAATTTTTTACCCTTCTAACTGTGAAGTAAAGAAAAAGTTCCTGTAAAGAAAACAATGCCTTTGTTGCCATGGCAATCTATACCTATGCCTGTAAAGTATGTTTTTATTTATAGTTGAGGACCTAACATGCATTTCTATTTAGAATGTGTTGGCCAAGATCCTGTGGAGAATCAGAGAGGAATGCCAGACTCTGGAGAAAATTTTCTTAGTTAATTAAAATGAAGATTGCAAATGGTCAGTTTATTATGTAGTGCTCTCAGAGAGCAGTTTAATTTAATGCTCTCCAAAGCTGAATTCACCTTAGATGAATGAGGACTCCTGCCACAGCCCATTGCTAGAATGGGATTTCATAGTTAGACCCAATTACTATTATTAGTTTGAGGCTTAGCATCCATTCTCAACCCCCCATTCCCCCCACATCAGATAAATGAATGCATCTGAAACCCAGGGAGGACACCTCCCCGAGTCATACCTCAGAGTCAATGAAGGACAAAGAGCTGGAACCTTGGAATATCCACTCCTTTTTTTAGGAGAAAACCATTTTTAATTGAAAAATAAAGCAACACATCTCAAATAAGACTCTGAACAACATAAACTGTAATTTGTTTAAAGAAAAGGCTTTCCTAAGTGGTATTGTGAAATTTGGGTATCAATATTAATACAGTTATCCTGACAAATTATTTAAAATATGAGTACAGGTTTTATCCCTATTTCCAACCCAGTGATAAAAGAAGGGGCAATTTTAAACAATTATTTTTATACTTGAGCTCCCAGAGAGAAGCAAATCCCAAAGTCAATATTTTCCTTATGAAAAAGCTTATTTGTAAAACACATGAGACTATTAATATTTAACTCATTCACAAAACTTCAGAATACATTTTCATCAAGATGACCTCTACAACAATTTTCCTTTAAAGAAATCTGCAAATTTCAGAATGATTTAAGATGACATATTGGGCATGTTAAACTTTGAAAGAAACTACTAAAGTTATTGCTTTAAACTGGAAAAAAAACTGTGGTCCAAAGTATCTTTTTAAAAAGAACTCATCCTGCTGTTCTTAAAATTACATTCATGTTAACAGCAGAAAAAATGTAAAAGCATACAGTAAACATTACTCTTAGAGTAACAGAACAAAGGCATTAAGATGTCTGGCTTTTTGTGTAATTGTTATTACTGTCTATAAATAAAGTCATTGCTGTTTGACTGAAAAAAGTTTTTACAAAACTTCACTTCCAAAATTAACATTTTTATTAAATCAAGTTTATAAAAATGTTCACTATAGAAAAGTCAACAAGGGTTTTAAGAAAACCAGAATATAAATTTTTATATAATATATGTATATATTAGCAGCAAACTACTTCTGAGATTTTGATCTTTTAGTAATTTTAAAGAAAGCATAAACATTGTGTATTAGGAATGTTGGCGAATTCACTTTATCCTTTATTCTGTGATTTGGCCCTTCTAAAAAATACTTTATGCTTCCCAATATTGAGAACAAACTTAGTTGACTATAAAGTAGTGAAACCGTGACTGGTAAAATCTTATTTTCACTATGTCATAGTAACACATTATTTTTGAGAATAACAAATGAGCACATATAAATAGGTAATTGTGTGTATACTCAATTTTTAAAGTATAATAACAACCAACTTTATGTTATTTAGCATTTGACTTTTTAAAAAATTTGGTGATATACAAAATTTTAATCAAATCAGATACTTCAATACTATATGGTGTGTTCATTTTTAAATCCTTAATAAAAAAAAATCTATATAACCTGACAAACTGCATGCAAAGATATATATGTATATGTTATGTATATACTTACAAAAGTATATGTACATATATATCTTTAGCTTTGATTTCTTTTATTTATTTATTTATTTTTTTAGTTGTAGATGTGCACAATACCTTTATTTTATTTGTTTTTATTTTTTATGTGGTGCTGGGGAATGAACCCAGTGCCTCAAGCATGCTAGGTAAGCGCTCTACCACTGAGCCATAACCCCGGCCCAGCTTTGAATTTCTTTAAATTGAAAGTTTCTAGTAACTTTCATCCTAGCTAATGAGAAACACTGGTGGACTAGCCACTCTTAAAGAATCCCGCCTATTCCAAGACCTTAAAAATACAAAATATTTTGTATGTTTACTATGTAGTTAAGGATATTTTATGGCAGAGAAATACTACCCAAACCAGGTTATTTATCCAGCTGGTACAATATGGCTGAGAACTCTTGTTTACTTCTAATTAGAAATCAGAATATCTTGTGCTCCATTTCCGTATGCTGCTGGAAACAAATCACTGAAGGACAAAGACTTGTCCTTCACTTAATAGGCATCCACTTGTTCCCTCTTTGATCACGGGAATTGTTTAAGGCACATAATTTCATCTCTTTTTTTCCTTTATGTCTGTGTAAGTTACATTGTTTAGAGTACAGATGAACATCACTGTCATGTCATATTTTTGAATCGCTCACTTTCATATAGTGCCTTTCTTGGTTGTATTTAATGCTTTTGCCCTGAATTCAACTTTGTACAATATTAATATCTCTTTCCTTGTTTGGATTTCTCTTTATTTTGACTAAGTTTACATATGCCTGATATACACATTTTCCCATTATTTGATTTCCACTCTTTCTGAATTGTTTTAAGTGTAATCTCTTGTACATTGCATAAATTTCAACTTTATAATATGTGCTGGTCTTTCCTAACCCGCTTATATTTATATGACATATAGATGATCTTAGGTCTTACTTTATTTGATGCTTTAAATTTTTTTAACTTAAAATATCCCATATGGTTGTTTCTGTGTTTTTTATATTTTTGCTCTAGTGATTACTTAAGGCTATAACTTTATTGAATTTTCTTAATTCTCTAGTTCCTTTGATAATAATACCTATTAATTCCCCCCTACAAGTGATGGTGAAATTAGCATATTTTCTTTTTCTCCTTATTTTCGTCCTTCACTACCATCTAATTTTAGTTGATACATTATCTTTCATGGTGTTCACTTTTCTCTTAAATATTTATCAGCTTTAAATTATATTTTTGATCCACAGGTAATAAAAGAGAAGAAAATGGCATACTTTACTTTTTAATCTTCATTTTCCCTTTTCTTCTTTTTATTGGTATTGCCATTGCCCTGTTGTCCTAGTGTATGACATTTGCTATCTGTTCCGTAACCATATTCCCTACATTTGCCTTGGCCCTCTATATGTAGTTACATAAGTTCCTTGCTAGTTGCTTTGCTATTATTCTTCCAGTCTTCTTTTTGTTGGCTCAAGTGTTTTCTTCTATATTTTCAGAGGAGCAATATTCTCTTGAGCTCTTTCCTTAAAATTATTTTATTTGCCTTTTGTTTTTGTACTTTACAGTTTGGCCAGGTTTAAATTTTTGAGATGACACTTGCTTTTTCTTGAGATTATTTTAGGCATTGCTCTTTTTGTCTTCTGGTTTGGAATATTGCCATGGAGAAATCTGAGGTCTGCCTGATTTCTTTCTACTTATGATTGATGTGATCTTGTTCATTTTCTCATTTGTGTCCTTGATATCCTTGGGAATATTTTTGTATTGGAATTTCTCATCTACCAGTTATTTTCTTATCTTTGTTTTTCTGTGTTCCTTTCTTCCTTTAAGGAAAACACAGTGTGGGCTGGGGTTGTGGCTCAGTGGTGGAGCGCTTGCCTCACACATAAACAAAATAAAGGTATTGTGTCCATCTACAACTAAAAACATTTTTTAAAAATGTCTCTGTGGAGTTCACATGCTGCATCTTTTTTGATTATTCATCACTGAAAAATACAAATTTCTCTTAGAACAGCCATTTGCAGGAAGTTCATTTAAGAGAGAGGCAAAGAAACAGGCACTGAACCCTATTCTAGACTAGCAGGCTTTTTGTTTAGGTAAAGTAATTAATAACATGTATGTTATTAATGTTATATAACATGTAAAGTTCTGCCTATAAGTATGTATAGGTTTACTTCTCCCTGGCCAATGAGAATAAGAATAGGCACTGTGGTGGTTTTCAATGACAGTCTCTTTTGTGCTGCTGTCATAGTCACACACTGCTTCCTGCAAACATGGCTTATCTGTGGAAATCCTTGACTTGGCTCACCTGCCACTACAAGGACCCAGGAAGTTTCCCTCATTAGTTTAGAACTGTGTTGACTTTACTGTAAACATGATTTTAGGTTGTGCACTTCAGATTGGCCTTGTGAGATCCTTTAAAAACCTTCCCAGGCTCCCTCTCCAGGGTTCTCGAAGTGTTTTCACCTCTTCTCTGGTTTGAAGTTTTTATGTCAGAGATAGGATTTGTGTTTGTGTTTCTCATTCTTGTTTTATTTAAAAGCTAATTCCAGTGGGACAAGAGAAAATTCTAACCTAATGTTGCTATCTTAAAAAATTTGACTTAGGCAGGTTGTTAAAGCATAGAATTATATGCTATTGGATGAAATAGTTTATACAGTATTTATTTTTGATTACTGAATACTCTGGGGCTTTGTGAATAGTCATATTCTGCCTTCCATTAATGATCTTTGTGATAGAGTAATACTCATGATTTGGGGTAATAACTTACTTTGTTTGTTTGTTTGTTTTCCTTCAGAACCAGGTAGCAAAAGCTGCATCCATTTTTTCTCAAATCATGAATCCAGAGAACATAACTTGCACAAATTTAAATGTAAGTGACTTCTTTATGGTTAAAGATAAGACTTGAAATATAGTAAAATGTTTGCATTTTTAGTCTGTGCACAACGACTTGATCTCCTAAGGTCTTCATTCAGTTCAAAAGAGCTCTTTTTTTGTTTTATTGAGCTCTTCTGTGTGTAAGTTACAGAATCACCCCATGAGAGGAGTCAATAGCTATTGCTTCCAGGAGTTTATAAATATGTGGGAAGGTTAGATATACTCAGATGTAAGACAGGGCTAAATGCTGAAGGCAGAAGGCATAGCTAGGACTCCTGTAGATGCGGAAAGAGGGAGGGAATGGTGACAAAATCACCAGTCTCTTTACTGGACCTTAAGAGAAACCTGCATGCTAATTGCATTCCAGCTGTGGCAGCTAACTCATATGTCTTTGTGATTAATGAGCTCATTACCTATGGTGCATTAACTATGCCTGATGCATGGTAAGCATTCAGTAGATATCAACTATTTTCATTTTTATTATATTGCCAGTCTGCCAAGGTCCATTGGCTCCATTGACTTATCTGGACTACTGTGTCACTTGTTTGGAGTCTTATTGCTTGGGTCATCAAGGGCTGTACTCATTCCACCAAGACATGTATGACTTTAACCCCTAAAACCAAAACAAAGACAAAACATTCCTCCCAAAAGCATAATCTGTCACCGCTCCCAGTTTTTGAACAGTGAGTCACCTAAACCTTCCTGTTCCAATAAAAAATTTAAAAAGACCATATTATCATTAAAGGCACCGTAGTCTCCATGCAGCCAGCTCCTTTCAAGGCCCTGCTTGTGTGCTGAGTACATTTGTGTTGTGAGGAGTTGGACAAGAAAAGTCCCCGGCTTTCAAGGGCTTCCCATCTCCTGAAACAGTCAAGGGGCTGAGAAGAAAAAAATATTTCCATGGAACTGAACCATGTGAAGAGCCGTGTGAGATGAACTAGGGTAACAGATCCCAGATGCATTGGAGTATTCCAAGAAGAGGGAATGAAGGACAAGACAGGGTTAACTGAGGTCTGGGAGAGGAGGTCATGTCGAGCAGTGTTCTGAAGGAAGACAGGTCTGTGTGATTGAAGGGATGGAGGTAGAAGGACGTTCTTTGCTAACAGATTGCTTTTAGTGAGGCTTTTGTGTAAAAAAATACAAGCTGTTAATTCTAAGCACCTCTTACCATCTGAATTTTAGATAAGTTACTTCATTTCTATAGATCCTGATTTCCTTTCATCTGAAACCGTAATGATACTTGTTCTTTTATTTTGGGCATTGAAAGAAGTAAGTGTGTGAGGTAGTATGCATAGTGCCAGGCACTTAATCAATTAATATTTGCCAATACTAGTAGTATTTGTTTCACATAAGATCAGTTAAATAAAAAGGAAAAAATTTCAGAATGGGAATTAGACAAAATTCCCAAGCTTCTCAGAAAAAAAATAGTAACACTTAACAGTAATGATGATTTTCATTTCTATACTTTAGTGGTTATTGTCAAAAGTCACCTCCACTCCACTGCCCATTGACTTCGGGAGAATGACTAGGTCAACATTTATGGTCAATTTCAGAGAATAAAGTTAGACCAGAAGATAAGGATACTGGAGTCTACACTTAACTTAAGTGATTTCTCATGAGGGAAAAGATGGAGCCAATGACAACAGAGAATCTGAGAAGGAGTTGGTCTTGGAAGAGAAGAGACTTCTAGGAAAATGCCCACAAAGTACTTTGCATAGGGCATAAGCTGGGAGGGGAAGAGTGTGAAAGCTGTCAGCTCAATCAGTCTGCAGACACCTGGTGATGGGTCTGCTCTGAACTGACATATGCCACAAGAAAGAGATGTAAGAGACTCACAAATGAGTTTATAAGGCGTTCATGGTGAGGCAGAGGAAGCATCAGAAAAGTCAGGGAACAATAACAGCTGTGTAGAGATCCAGCAGGGCTCAGCACCCCACCTGAATAGCAGATCCCCACTGTCCAAAGAGAAGCTTTGGGGGCATCAACCTGAAAATTCAGAGGCTAAGGGCAGGTCTGGGAGGCTGAGGCTGTTTGGCAAAGCTCCAGAGTCCCAAAGGTCCTGTCATTTGAGCCACCAGAGGACTAGGAACCCTGGTCTTCTAGCAGATACCATATGTAATTTGTATTCTTCTCCACTTCCTACTTATGGGCAACTCTGGTGTCCAAGTGTGTGACTGATTCTGAGGGGAGTGGCCTGCAGATGTGCTAATTTTATGATGGGACAGGAGTAGAATTGCTGGAATTAACAAGAAACTCTTCCCCTAAAGCCAAAGCCATCCGATAGTTCAGAGCATCAGGAAGGAAAGAAATCCAGTAGAGTGTGGGAGAGGTGCTATAGGTGGATCATCAGTAGCTTTTCCTGGAGTTGAAATGAGGTTAGTAGAGAGAAATCAAAGATAGTGAGATGGGCAGGTTTTAATTTAATTTTAGCTAAGGTACAGTAGGCATTTTACATTCATTAGCTCATTTTATAGAGGCCTATCAAAACAGTATTCCTCCGTAGTATAGATAGGGAAATGAAGAGTCAAAGGGGTAAGTTCAGTTACCCAAGTTCTCACAGCAGATTATATGAGTCAGGGTTTTAACTCACACACCTGACAGTGAGGCCCCAGGTTTCTCCTCTCCAGACCTACAGAGATGAGGAGGGTTGTGCCTCTCTCATCCAGGACTGGAGCTGGCCACTCCTCCTGAGTGGTAATGAACAGAACATAGGATTAGATGTCAAAAAACATGATCCACTGCCAGTGCATGTAGCCCACTTCGCAGATTTAGACTCTTCAGCTCTCTGTCCTTACCTGTCTCTCACAGCTGTTAATCAACTCTAGTAATATCGTTTGTTTTGTTTTTACTTCTCCACTTCCTACTAGTTGTGGACAACAATGGTGTCCAAAAAAGATACCAGAGGCTGTCTATGCCCAGTAGGAGGAGAAATGCAGAGCATGGTAGGCAGAGCGTGTGCTCAGTGCCAGGGTAGGAGGATGGGCTCCTTTTCTCTGAACTGGAAGGTCAGCTAGTGCATGTGGTGGGAGGGTTATCCTTTAGGCAAGGACCATGTAAGGAACCTTGAATTGATGCTGAATATGAATCATCCTCTTCATGAACTGGGTCACCGACTGAAAGATAGTTTTTTTGTTCAAAAATTATAACCCAGAAATCTCTTCTAAATGTCCAGTCTCAATTTCTCATGTTACAACATAAGCACTGTTTTGAACCTGCACAAGTGATTGAATGTATTAGGAATTAGCATCAAAACATGGCATGTGCCTATTGATGCAAACTTATGTAGCTAGGTGCGTTTCTCACCATTGAAATACTGGCTCATGCTTGTTTTTGCCTGCTTGTTTCTTTTTCTATTCAGATTATTATCCATATCCAGTCAAATATGTTGGAAACCCTGATAGATATACTAACGAATGCTGCAGAAGGAAATTTATCAATATTTGTGAAAAAACGTGTGTTCTCAGAGGAAGTGGTGAGTGTGCAAGTGCTGCAGAAATCATTTAAAAGTGAAAAAGCACTCTTAAAAATATTCACCTGATTTCTTGATTCTTTAACTCATCTCATTAAAGAGATGTCAAACATGGCAGCTCCGWCATTCCTGTTGTAAAGCTTTTGTTTGCATACAAAGATTTGTTTTCTTCCGACAGAATATGTCTTCTAATAGTGTAGGAAAACATCTTTGTTTATGTTACTCTTTTCTGTGCACAGTTTTCATGAGCTTTGTTTCTTTTACACGTGGATGACAATTTTACACCTTTTTCCTTTCCCCTAAAGCTTCCAATACTTTTCTCCTCTTGTCTTATGCTCAGTTAATGACCTTGCTTCCTGTTTTATGGAGAAAATAGAAATCATCAGAAAAGAATGACTGCCCCATAGACAGCCTCTGGCTCCTTTCTCTATATTCCCATGGTGACTGCACGCATCTTTTAATCCAGCCTTGCATGGTGTACTCTCTGCCCCCTCCCCAGGGTATCAGCCTAGAAATTGTCTTATTCTTTTGAGCATCACATCATCTCCTTTCCCAGGGTCATTCCTAATAGCAAACAATAGGGTATAGTATCTTTCATCCTAAAAATTTGTCCTACCATGTAGGTAGGAAGATTTAGCCTCATAAAGTCAGTTCTCCCCAAGTTAACGTGATGAGATAATATGATCCCAATAAAGATTTCACTGTGTTTCTTTCTGTAGTTTAAGTTTAGATGCATTTACAACCAAGAAAGAATAGCTAAGAAAACCCTATGAAAAAGAGCAATAATAAATACAAGGCTGAGCAGATACTAAAGCATATTAAAGCTTCTATAATGCAAACCATGGCAATAGCACATGAATGGGTGAGCTAATGAGATAGCATTGCAAGTCCAGGGATACTTAGATGAAGACAAAAGCCAGTGCTCAGATAAATGAGAATAGATAGACATTTCTAAGAAGTGGTACTAGAAAAAGTAGAGAGCCAGTGGAATACAAAAATTTTATTTGGGGGCTGGAGATGTGGCTCAAGTGGTAGCGCGCTCGCCTGGCATGCGTGCGGCCTGGGTTCGATCCTCAGCACCACATACAAAAAAACAAAGATGTTGTGTCCATCGAAACATAAATAAATAAAAATATTTAAAAAAAAATTTATTTGTTCTTGTACCGCAAGCCAAGATAAATTACAAATGGATAAGATATGAAAATTTCAAAATGAAATAATGCAGTCACTAAGTATAACCGTTAGTGAATTACTTTATATCCTGACAGTGGAAAATTTTCTTTCTTAGTCAAAATCCAAATCAATAAAAGAAATGATTGAGCTGGGTATGTGGCGCATGCCTGTAATCCCAGCACTCCAGAGTCTGAGACAGGAGGAGTTCAAGGTCAGCTTCAGCAACTTAGGAAGAACCTTGTCTCAAAACAAAACAAAACAAACTCTGGGGATATAGCTCAGTGGTTAAGTGTCCCTACACCCTGGGTTCAGTCCTTAGTACCAAAAAAGAAAAGATTGATAAATTTGACTGCATAAAATTTTTTTGTTTTGCTTTTCGGTATGACAGAGACACCATAACAAAGTCAAAAGGTAAACAAGTTGGAAGGAAAAGCTTTCAAACTTTAATTATACAGAGAGCTAACTAACCTTAATATATAAAGAACACTTTTTAAACATTGTAAGAAAAGGACCAACAACCCTAAAGAAAAATGAGTAAGAGATAGGCACAGAATTCACTTAAAAGAATTATGAATGACCTTTAAATATTTGGAAAGATTCTTAACCTTGCTCATATTAAAGGAAATGCAAAATAAAACTTACACCTGTGGTTTTACTTATACCTTAGATGAGTAGAAATCTGAAAGTTTGACATCTTATTCTATGAATGTCCATTTTCTATTACTATAATGAAATACCTCAGGCTGCTATTTCTTTGCTTACAAAGAAAAAGGGTTTACTTAGTTTACAATTTTGGAGGTTGAAAGTTCAAATACTGTGGCACAGGCTCTGACAAGGGCCTCCTTGGCTGTGTTACCTCATGGTAGATGGCATCATGGTGGAAACTCCTACTGGAGAAGAAGTCACATGCTATGATGAGAAACCAGAGTAGGAGAGGGGCATGCTTACTCTTTTATACCAATCCTCTTACAAGAACCAACTCAGGGTCCCATTGAATCTCTTCCAAGGGCAGAGACCACAGTGACCTCCCACTAAGCTTCACCTCTTAAAGGTCCACTACTTCTTAACCATGCTACACAGGGGACCAAGCTTTTAACAAATGAACTTTTGGGGGATAAACCACATCAAACCATAGCAATAAGGCTCTGAGGAAACAGGAATCATCATCTCATGAGGGTGGAGGGAATGCAATTGGTATAGTCCTTGTGGGGAGACACTCAGCAATATGTAGTAGAATTATAAACGAATTTACCCTTCGACCCAAGCCTCCCACTTCTTAGAATACATAAACTGACAAAAATGTAAGAAGCTGTATGTAGAAGGCTGTTTGTTGCTCTTTGTAATAACAAGAGACTGGAAATAAAACAGTTTCTGTCTTAGAGAACTAATTGAACAAATTAGGTTGTATTCATATGAAGCACTGCTATGCAACTCTAAAAGAAATGAGGAATAACTACAACATGTAATTCTGTGGATCACTACATATATGGACCACTTGGATATATATTACTAAGTAAAAAAAAGCAAGATACAAATCAGTGTGGTGTGCTCTAAGAAGGGTGTGTGTGTGTGTGTGTGTGTGTGTGTGTGTGTGTGTGTGTGTGTGTTCATACAGGCAGGCAGTACATAATGACATTTTGATCAGTGACTGACTGCTTATGTGATGGCACTCTCATAAGATTATATTGCTTAGACAAGTGCAGTGGTACATACCTGTAATCCTAGCTACCTGGAAGGCTGAGGCAGGAGAATTGGAAGTTCAGGGCCAACCTCAGCAACTTAGACCGTGTTTCAAAATAAAAAGGGCTGAGGATGTAGCTCAGTGGTAAAGCTCTTGGCCAGCACGTGCGAGGCCCTGGATTTAACTGCCAATACAGGGGTGGGAGCATGGAGGGCTCTCTATTGCCTAGTAACATACATGGTAATCTTTGTTTGTCTGAGTACACTTATGTTCACATAAGTTGCCTGACGTTATTTCTCAGAACATATTCCCATCATTAAGTGACACATAACTGTATATTTATATAGGTTGAGAGTTTTGAAAAACAACAGATGGAAAACCCAAAGCTTAATCAAAACAGTTGTGAAAAAGTGAGAGAACTGTGACTTTTCTGAATGTACCTTGTTTGTATATTTGACTTTTAAAAAACTAGTTGTAGATGGACACCATACCTTCATTTTATTTATTTATTTTTATGTGGTGCTGAGGATCAAAGCCAGTGCCTCACACAAAGCGCTCTAGCTCTACCACTGAGCTACAACCAGAGCCTTGTATGTTTGATTTTGGAACAAAGTAAATGCTTTGCAAAATTCAGAAACAAAGTTAAATAAAAATGAAGAGGAAAAGAAATTCCTAGGAATTGAAAGCAAAATGAAACAAACCCTTGTGCCATATTGTAGGCTTAAGTATSCAAAGAGGAATTATTGCTGGTCATTTGAAATGTAGTCATTTGTACATTTCTAATGCCATGTAACGTAAGGGAGAGGAGAACTATAAAGAGATCATAAATTATTGACAATGGTTGTATTGTCAGTAATAATACTGGCATTGTTATTTTGACTAACAGCATGGTCTGTTAGTTGGTCTGCCCTATTCCCTGTTTCTTCCTCCTTCCTCTGCCTGAATAGTCCTGGCCCAGGCTGATGACCATAGTGGCAGGTGGCTGCTTTCTCCCTCCCAGCCCTTTTCCACTTATTTCTCACTTCTGCCCAAAGACTTCTTCCTGCCGGCAAAGGAAGTGTCAGGAAACTAACTGGATATGGTTAACTTAAAGCTTCTTTGTATTTGAGGTCCCAGCTCTGTAGGTTGTGGCCCACCCGAGCCATTCTGGAATAAATTTTAAAAATAGAGGAACTGGAAATATGAACAAATTTTGTGTACCATCATGTGTGTATGTATGTAAGTGTACATACATACATTCACAAGCACATATGTATACATGATTGCATAACACTGATTCAAATCAGTTTTCCCAACAGCATTGATGTTAGTCCTTCCTTAGACCTACAGTCACCCATTTACATGACTGGAGCATCCAAACAAACCCTACATGGAAAAATTCTGATATAAGACTTTTTTACTTTGAAAACTAATCTCTAGTTCAGTGTATTACCCCTGGTTACTGTGAGACCGCTCAGGGATCTGCTTGATGAGAAATGAATTGATTTATAACAAGTCCAGTAGATTTTGAGTTAGTTCTAAACACATGTATGAGGGATTGTGTATGGAGTGTAATATTGTCAATTGTATTTTTAAAATGCTGTATTTAATATTTATACCCATTAAAAATGTGTGAAGGAGCTGGGGATATAGCTCAGTTGGTAGAGTACTTGCCTGGCATGCACAAGGCCCTGGGTTCAGTCCCCAGCACCATCGGGGGGAAAAATGTGGCAATAAGACTAAACTTAAGTTGCTATTATTGCACCAGAAGTATTAAAAAGAATTGTTGATTTTCTGCAGTGCTGTTACGAAAAGACTCAAGCATTAGCTGTTTTTTTTTGTTGATTTCTTTTTTTAAATGAAATTAATAAAATCTCTTTTCTGCATAAATTTTAGCATGGGACTCATGATGCCATTTAATATTTCTGTGGTGATTCAACCGATGTAGTGTATGCAGTTAACACACAGTTCCCTCCAGCTTGGCGTGTTTGCTCCTTTTAGAAGCCATATGCTGCACATTAAATCAGTTCACCTTGAACATGAGGACTAAACAAGCTATTCTTTTCAAGAACCATTATGAAAAGCTTAGGCTGCTTGTCTGAAGGTTTGGCTGGAGAAACGTGCAGCTGGCAAATAAAATGCTTCATTTAGAAGATGACCAAAGGATTTGTTAGGAATCTTGAACTCACTTAAATTTCACTGAGAAATGTACATAAGCTGTATCTTGATAAGATACAATGTTGATTTTGTTCAGAAAGTAGCTTCACGTACTAACTTTGAGCTCACTATTATTTATAAAATTAAATACTATATACTTATTGTTTATACCTCTGGCCTAGACCTCTCCTCCACACCCCAGACCTGTATATTAACTGCCTCTCCCCAAGTCCACATAGGTGTATCACAGGTGTCTCAGTCATATCCAAAACAGACCTTGATTTTCCCCTCCAAAATTCACTCTCCAAAATATATTTTATATATATCGACTTCTTCATCTTTTCTCTATTCTAAACCACCATCCTTTCTTCTCTGGACTGCTGTAGTGGCCTCCACTATTATCTTCATGTTCCTGCACCTTCCCATTCATTCAGCTTTGTAAACCTAAATCAGATCGTGTCCCATTTAGACCGTCTGATGTGCCTTTAAGCTAAATTCAAACAGTTACCATGGACTGTATGTAAAGCCTGATGTGGTGTGACCCTTCATCCCGCTCTAATCATTACACTGAACAAAGTTAATTCCATTGATATTTGATGTCCTTCCCTGATGTGTAACACTGTTTAATACATGCCATTTGAACACTCTTTTATAGGAAACTGTGGTTTTCAAGTATGAATTCTGAATTTTGCATGTAGCTGGTGAACTCTCTTAATAGTCAGTCATGCCTCTTTGTGCCCTAGAACCCTGGTTTTTATCACTTTAATTGTGCACTTCACATTTTTACTCAGGCCTGTTTCTTGTTTCTTAGAGAATAAAAAGAACAAGGAAGAAATCTTGTAGAGATGTAATGATCTGTTCTTTCTTCCAGTTGGTCAATGTGAGGGAAAAAGTGAAGGATGATGCACCCAACCTTCTCGCCAAATTTGACGAGATCTATGGGAAATTGCACATAAATGGCCAGATCACCACTTATTCACTGGATACTCTGCTCTGCCGTACCCCCAGGGACAAGAAGTCCCATACATTGCTATTAAACAAGAGGACAATCAGCCGTCGGACCTTCCAGCCCCTCAGCCAGTCCCTGTTGGCTGAGTAACCTCATTTTCAGACTTCTTCAGGTCTAAGGGGCCTGCTTCAAGTGAACGGTTGGCTTTTCTGAGATGTCAGGCATCTAACTTTGGTTGACGCTGTGCTAACACCAAGTCTTCTCCCTAAGTCCTGAGTCATTGAGTGCTGACATGATGATCAGAGAAATTATTATGTTGTGGCACTGTGAAGACCCAGATCAGTCAGAGAAAGCTCCACAACCTCAGAAAGGAGACTTCCCCTGTACGAGCTGCTGAGGGAAGAACGTGGACATGCTCAACGGGGACCCCGACAAGCACCTTAAAAATTGGCCTTCACTAAATGTGGTCAATTCGGACTAATTTTTTTCAGGGAATAGTTGCTTGCAAATTATACCCTTGCTGAATTTAAGAGATCTAAACCCCTGTCCTACCGTATTGGAAAACATGGATTTTCATAGTGTCCTGCCATCATTTTAGCTCTTTGACCCTGAAAAGGTACGTGAGGCTCATTTTAGCATCTCCAAATAGTGCTTACATGTGGTTGTATAATAATTTGAAATTTTCATTTAAGTTCAGTAGAGTCATATTTTCTCAAAAATAAGAGAAATAAAAACACACCTAAGTAAACTTCTTGTGATTGTGTTCATTTTGTCAGCAGCACAAACAAGACCAGAATTTAGTTTTCAGGACAGATAAGCCAAATTTAAATGGTTACTGTTTTGGTCAGGGGTGAGCCACGTACTTTTCAAAATCAATGCCAGTGTAAATGATAATGAGTTTTCTTTGTGGATCATAAATATTTGGTCCTCTAGTTCATCTCATTTGTTAATGATCTCTTTCTTTCCTTGGAAGCCTTTGCTCTGCCCCCTATTTAAAAAAAAAAAAAATGTGTGGTGAGAGCAGGTCAGCATTTTTACATACTTAGGATGAATTTTACATACTGGCCACTGATGTGCAGGATACACAGCAGCCCCGCATCAGTCGTGCCGTTTGTTTCTGAAGGTCCACAGAGAGGGTGGGCCCAGCAGCGGACTCCAAGAGTACTGCATACTTTCTTTCCTGCTACTTCCAAAACACTGCTTTAGTGTTATTCTCAGGCAAGAATTGACCATTGAATCAGACATTTTAGAGTAGGAGGAATCTTCTGAGTCTCCTAATTAAACTCCTTCATTTTTTAGGTTGATGACTTGTCAAATTTGGCATTACTAGTTTGTGGTGTAGCTGAGATAAAAGCTATATAGTCTAGAATCCTTCCCACCATACCATATTGTATGAGTCCTTTAAGGGATAGGATGCTAAGGGCTCCTGTGACTTACTGCGTGGCCAGGAGCTTGCCTCTGGTAAACTGGAATAACACCAAGCTCCTCGGGTTTTTGAGGATGAACCGAGATGCTGAATATGAAGCCTGCAGACAGTGCCAGACACAGTAAGTGCTCCACAAATAGCCACTGTTGATACCACCTTCTTAGGCAGCATGCACAACGCTTGCCCCTAGTTGAAGAATTACATAAACAAATTTAGTTCTTTCTCCTCAGAACTATCCAAAGAATCTCTTTTACTTGTGCTCTATGAAACATTAGGCAGCCCCATATAAGGGATTAATTATCTTCATAGATGCTTAATGGCTTCTGTGTGTGTGTGGTGTTCAAAAGGAAAAAAAAAAGCATTTGAATTTCTTGAAGTCTGAGGGAACAACAAGGCATATTTCCTGTTCCCCCAACTTATCTTGGATCTTGTCTAACATTCACAAAGAACCTTTAGACAGCTGTAAGCCCTGGGTGAGTGTGGCACTGGTCATTAGCTAATGACCATTCATTAGCAAAAAGAAGAAAAAAGCTATTTTGTGAGCAAAAAAATAGCAGCCTTCCCAATCCCTGCTATTCCCCTTGAAGAGGGTAGCTGGTGCTTCGCTGTCTGCAGAAATTGGACCATTTCACCTGTTCCCAGAAGTTTAGTACAGAGCTAAGTATGTTATAATGTTCACCTCAAGATAAAAGGTGGTTGTAAACCATCAAAGAAAAAGTGTTCAATATAAGTTATGATGGGTACTTCATTCTTTAAAATTTGTTCATTTCTTTGAAAACAAAAACGATGTTTCTTTGCAATCACTAATTTTCCACAATCATCCACTTCTGTTCATGAGAATATTTGATTGGACAGAACATCTTATTCCTCAGCTCGGATACCTGTGTAGACTGTTTTACTTCCTGTTGATGTCTTGCCCCAGAATCCAAACCTCAGGATGGTAACCAGTAGAGATACGAGAAAGAAACAAAAAGATATCTCCTAGTTTTAGTTGTGACCAAAATATCCAATAAGAACAGCTTAGAGGAGGCTTATGATTTCAGACATCTCAGTCCATAGACGGCCAACTCCATTGCTCTGAGACCAAGATAAGGCAGCCCATCTCGGGGAAGGGCCCAGCTGAGAAAAGCTGCTCAGCTGATGTCAGCAAGGAGGAGGAAAGGTCTGCAAGAAGATATACCTCTCCAGGACACGCCCAAGGTTGACCTACCTCCTGCAGCCACAACTCACCTGCCTACAGTTATCTCCAGTCCATTCAAACTAAGACAGACTAATTAAATAACAGCTCCCATAATCCAATCATCTCACCCCTGAACATTCCTGCACTAACACAGGAGCTTAATTGGAGTGATATTAGGGATAGTGTTCTGGGTATCACTGTCAGAAGCACTCCAAAACTGTGGCTTTGAACACCAATCACTTTATTATTTCTTCTCATTATCCTAGGAATTAACTGGGGTCAACCAGGTGCTTCTTGCTCAGGGTTTCATGTAAGTAAAGTCATCATCAGATTATGACCGAGACTGGAGTCAGCTTGAAGATTCCTCACTCTGTACTTGTGGCAGTTGATGTTGGGACCTCACCTGGGGCTGGGGCTAGAACTCCTACACATAGCTTTCTTAGAGCATGGTGGCCAGGTTCCAGGAATGAGTGTCCCCAGAGGATCAGGCAGAAGCTGTTGTCCTTTTATGACCTGGCATCAGAAGTCATGGGATTACTTCCACTAAAGTCATATGTCCACCCAAATTCAAGGCAGGGGTGGACACTCCACCTGTCAGTAGTGGGAATGTCAATGAATTTATGGACTATTACTGATTTTCTTTTTCTTCCAACAACTCTATACTTTTCTCCTTTCTTATTACTACTTCGCTAATTAAGACCACTGCTATCAGGCATCTGTCTTTCAGCTATCCTCTGTTCTGCAGCCTGAGTGAGGTTATCCAAAGTTTGTTCTTCCCCCTGCTTAAAACCTCCTAAGATTCCTCATGTCCTTCTGGATAAGGCTCAGACCTAATGTGACTTAGAAGTCCCTGCATACACTGACCCACATTTGCCCATCCAGCTCCATCCCTTGCTCCTTCGTACCCCTTCCCCCCACATCTCAGTGACTGGCTCACTCCTACTCATTGTTTTCAGCTCACAACTCAGACATCTTTTCATCTGGGGAAGCTGTATGGGCCCACCTTCCTTCTCAAGTGAACTACCCGAGTATTCTGGTCCTTCACTTATCAAAGCATTTATCGTGTGTCTGTCACTGCTCATCTTCTGTGCTTCCCTGGACTTAGGTGCCATGTCTGTCCTGTCCTCCACAATTTGCCCCACGCCTAGCATAGTAGGTGAATAAATCAAAGGATTAGGACTTATGTAAATTGCTAACCCATTTAACTATATATATATACATATCATATATAATTATGTGGGTGCTCATCACGATCCCCCATGGACAGAGTTTTCTCCCCAGATTCAGTGCTGTGGTCTGAATGTTTGTGCCCTGTCCCTCCACCACCCCAATTCATATGTTGAAATCCCAGTCCCTAAGGTGATGGAGACTGGAGATAACTAGGTCATGAGGGTGGGTCCCTTGTAGATGGGATTGATGCCATTATAAAAGGGGCCTGAAGAGGCTTATTTGCCCCTTCCACCCTGTGGAGAGGGTGGTGTCTGAGAAGCAGAAGGTGGCCTTTACTAGACATAGAGTCTGCTAGACCTTATTCTTGGACTTTCCAGCCTCCAGAACTGAGAGAAATAAATTCCTGTTGTTTATAAGCCAATCAGTTTTTGTGGCATTTTGTAATAATAGTCTGAATAGACTATGACACTCAATACCAAACACTCCACATTTAGACCACTCCAAACTTTGGCTCCTCTCATGATACACGTTTTTCTCCTCCTGCTAAATGCCTTCAATCTCCAACATCATTTTCTGCCAATTTTCAAGGTCCAACTCATGTGTCATCTTTCCCATAAGACATTTCCATGCTGTTTAAATCTACATGTATTTGTCATTAATTTCATCAAATCTGTAATGAGCATCTACAAAGGACAAGGCACTTAGGATCCACAAAGGCTCTTAGGATTCACAGGAAATTGACAGGCAGCTCCCTTTCCCAAAACAGAACATTTTTAAGCTGCCATCTTGACCCTAAGGACCTTTGGGTCTACTTACCTGCTTGTGTCTTCTAAAAGTGGTCCTCCTAATACTAGAGTGATCAAAGCCAAACATCAAAGTAGACTTGGTTGTAAAAAAGACCAATCCTGGGCAATGACTATTGACAGCTTTGTTGAGAAAAACATAAACACGGGAAAAACACAAACTTTTAATCAATTCATAGTAAATATGACTGGGAAATTATAGTGGGGAGGTAAAGATTTACCTGCTACAATTTCAGACAGACGAAATTGTAGATTTCTCTATATCTTTGCAAGCTAACTAAAATTTCTTATGAACTCTGATTATATTGAGAACCTGAGAATGGGGATCATGGGAGACTTGATCTTGCTTGAAGGATACTTTAGTCTTTGATTTCTTTGAAGTAAGTGTTTGATATTTTTAGATATGTTCTTCCTATACTTTTTACATCCAAGATGATAGCTGAGCATCAGTCTGTGGTCCAATTTTAGCATGCGTCAGAATCACCTGGAGAGCTTGTTAAAACACAAATTGCTGGGTCCCAACCACAGACTCTGGTTCTGCACATCCAAGGTAGAGCCAAGAATTTGCATTGCTAATAAATTCTCAGGTGATGCTGTTGCTACTCTGGGCGATGCACTTTAAGAACAGGTGATGTGAGAAAACGCTTGTGTTTCTGGTGTGGGGGAGACTGAGCTTCACACCCCATTTTTACTCCTCTTTGGTTTCACTTGTGAGGAGGAAATAGGTATGAAATCTGGCTCTGTCCATGCACCCAAGGGATCTGCCCTGGTGCCCATGTTGGTCCCAGGAGGCTATTGATTTATTTTTTCAAAAAGAATCACTTTTAATTATCTTTGTAAAGATTATTCTCTTATGCTTTTATCGGTGCACTATAATTACACACAATAGCAGGGTTCATTGTGACATATTCGTATGTGCATATGATAATTTGCATTATTTCATTCCCCAACCCACTTCTGGGGTCATGGCCTCTGCCATCTGTCCCTATTCATAAGTACCCTCACTCTGCTGTTGCCTCAAGCTGACCCCAGGCCCTTCTTTGATTCAGGAGTCCCAGGGCATTATGAATTAAGGACAATAAAAACTATATGCATTTATTGCTTTCAAATATATATTAACAAAGGAATCTATGCAAACTAAGAGAACATATGGCATAAC